ATATACAGATTTTTTAGATATATGCAATTTTTCATGAAATTGGATAAAATATGCAAAAAATGCATAGATATGCACTTTGCATATTTTCCGCCCTCTAGTTATCACCTACCTAAATATTAATGATAAAATTACGTTCTTTGCGACTACACTAGCATAATATGGAGTATTGGTATTCTTTGCCTCTCGACTCCGAAATTTCCTATGATCTTATCACGATCAATGCTTGGGTGATTGTAATTTTCTATGTTTTAACGTAGTTAAAACCGTGACCTTATCTTATAAAAGAGACGTGGACCTTTGCTACTTCATAACAACGATGTTCAATCCTTGGAATAGGTAAAATTCTTGAGTTTAAATATCAGTGCTAATCTGAAACGGATTGCGCATTTCGACTACTTGACGAAAAAACTTTCTTGGGCTTACTTGGTATTCGATCGAGTTTCAAAATTGTTTCTATTGGTTGGAGATCTGTCAGTTCGTACGACGACGGACGAATTTATTATATAATAATAATAATTATTATTGACCTAGGAAGAGAAATATAACTTATCAGTAAAGAAATGGATTAAATAATGGTGACTTCTAAATCAATGTGATAAATACGTGTATTGCAATGCGTACACTCATTACATGAGTGAAAGAGTAAGGCAAGCGTAGTCAAAATCTTCACAAAAGAGTTTTATTCTTTTGATTTTTCCCAACTCAAAATTTATTAGAACTCGATCGTCATTCTAGACTACAGTTTGATTTATTCATGCGGAAATACGTAATCTTGGATTTTAAAATACTGTGCTGTTTACGCGTTGAGGTATTTATCTTAAAAAATACCATTGGGACACTGAAATTTCACATGACGTTTATCATCGTCATTTCCAGCATGAATTCAATATTAATGTTTGGTGCGAATCCATAAATAATTATCTGATACTTCCACATCAGTTTTGTCAAAATTTTACTAGTCAATTGTACTTAGATTTTCTTCAAAAAGATTTAAAACGCAATAGTTCAAAAGTGGAAAGTTACATGAGGATATGGTTTGCAGTGTTGTACAGCTCAATGCTTTCAAAATCGTGTTTGGGACCTGATTTGGACTTATTGCGAAGAAAAATACCCTAAAGAAGTCTTTACACAATATCTGATTTTCAGCGTTTTAGCATGCTGTGTTGTCAGAGTGTCCTTCGTGAAATCGGATAGAGCCAAACGAAACAATGAATTCATTCAATGATACAATGAATATACCCCGACGGTATTGGGCTTGTGCGAAGCCCTGATTTTAACCCAATGGACTTCTGTTTTTGGGGTTATATGAAATTCATACTTTGTAAAGATCCCATTTATAACATTAAATGCTGCAGAAGACTTCCGAAATAAACATTTCTATTCATTTATTTAAAATATAGCCTAAAAAGCCCAAAACACATTTTTTTTAGTAATAGTAAAATTGGTTCATAGCTACATAGATTACATCATAAAGTTGATTAAGACACGTATTTAACATGCCATTTCTTTGTAGAAGAAATATGGAATCGGAAGAAGATGACGTTGAAGCCGAAGAGTCCGGAATATCAGAAGAACCTGATGTAGTAAGAAAATTGGAGAACTCATTAAAAGAACTACAGGTAAGATTGTTTAGAAAAATATATAGGGTTATTGCTAGATCTGAAACTAATTGAAATACATGGTGATTCAAAATTGTCGCATTTTTTTTTAAAAGGTTGCTGGCACTTATCTGGAGAGTATAAACAATAGTTCAATATATTTTTTGAATATTAAATGTCTACTTTTTTAACTCAATGGTCATTTGACGGACTAGCAGTACTGTTAAACATTACTAATAAACTTCGCAAAACTCGCTTGAACATACTCAGAATTTCTATTAAGACAATCTGGGATTCTATAATTTTTTTTATGGAAAAGAACAACGGCAATTTTGTTGTTGACAAACATTTAGGCGTTATATAGCGTATTTGTGGTTAGCTTTTCGATTGTGTTCTTCGAAACTATAATGTACAACAATGCGTAGAATGCATCAAGGTGACTTTCCGATGGAAAACTCTAAATTGGTCGATTATTCTACCTAACGGACGGACCGAAATCGCGGTATATTGTTTATTTCATGCAAATTGATTCTGCTGGGACCGTTAAAGTATCCGAAGGTCATCTGACGTGCTAATTGGTGACGTCATACTGAATGAAGCATTTAAAACTATTAGCAACACTTCAGACCGTTTACACACAAGAAATTATATAGCGATGGAAATTTTTGAAGATTTCTCGCAGGTTTTACCTGATCGCCCACATTTGGAAAAAATCTGGTATCATGTAATAGTTGAACAAGAATTACTTACACACCTGCAATTCTATCAACTTTGCACATTTTTGTCCAAAAATTTTCCGAAATCTATACCATCAGACCCAGCTATTGATATTGAAACTGAGAAAATCTGTTATGAAGTGACATGTTACGTACAGTAAGTAATGTAAAGAATTCCGGATAAATGTGTACAAAATGTATGTAGTTATCTCATTGATTTGGATCCCGAATTGAAAAACTATCATTTGAATCATTCTTTTTTTCTCAGCTGGTACCATCAGTAACATGTTTCTGTTTTTTTATTGTTAGTTTCACCTGCTTCATTTCTTGATTTAAGCTTTAATCAGCGGGTATCTACGTATTGTAAATGAGGAAAAATCGTTTGATGGTTCAAATTAATTACATTGTTATGTCCGGTTTTGTGATTTTTTTACTATTTGTTCTGTACTCTAAATATATCCAGATGAACCTCCAGGGAGATGTCGCTGAAGTATAATCACCCTATATCATTAATGCCGAAAAAACTTGTATGATTTGTATGCAGCTAGCTGGAATCATACTCAAAAGGCAAATTACGCAACTTCATTATAATAATTATGCCTCATTAGAGCAGAGTAGACTATATACAATCTGTGAGTGGTCAGACCGTCCAATTGAACTTTGACTTTGTCTATCTTACACGTTGCTTGGGGATGACCGCTACTGATTCACTAATTTAAATGATTACTTTCTCATCTGTTGGTTATTTACAAATAGTCAACATTGGGAAGTAAGATGTATTAATTTTACGTAATTAAATAGTTTACATTTGAAAATACATTAATACATAGTTTAACAAAAAATGCACATTATTTTCCCTTACTAACTAAAATACCTTAATCCACAACTGGAAATTTTGCGTTTAGCTAACAACCTGCGCACTTAATCACATCAACGTAATATTCCGCGCTTTTACGTAACAATCGACGTAACAAAATAAACGGTGAATTCAATAAGATTCGTTGAACGTGAAACGTACTTTTTCAAAATGTCAATTATTGTCCTAATAACCTCGAATTGAGGTTGACAAATAAACATACATTTGAGTCTCTACTCCAAACAAGTTAGTGGCTTCATCTTATCACCTTATTATCCACTCTTATTGAGCAGCTTCCCGTATTCGGGAGTTTAATATGTCTTTGTGCTGTGTGTATCTTACATACGTGGTAGGAATGTAGCCCTTCCTCGGTATTTATTTGGTGCCTGGGAAAGTGTCAGTTGTTGTGCTTTGAGTACCTCTGAAAGGCTCTGCTGCAATTATGGCGAATACTTGTTCCTCTGTCAAATCTATTGTCGTCCACTATCTTCCTGGAGTCAATCTCCAGTGTCTCAGTGAGTTCTTACAGCTTCTGCTATGTTACTGTGGCATTTCCCCTAAACTAATCGCATATCAGCAAATTCGTGAAAGGAGCTTCAAAGGAAGTCACAATTTGACAAATTATTGTTATTATTGACAAAGGCAAGTCAACCTGTAACTATCTGATAATGACAGTAAACATCATTGCCGCTTTGACTTTTCATAACAAAAATGTAGAAGAGAACTTTTTTAATATAAAAATTTTCGTAATTCGAAGCCAAGATCGTAATTTTTCTTTTTGAATGCTACCAATTAAACATTGAACAATTTCAAAGTAATGCTTAATAACAAAGTTGAAATTCGATTTTCAACTGTTAATATATTCTAGAAATTATCGAAAAAAATGTTTTCAATATTTTTCTCGTACTCGCCGGGTGAGCCCCCATTACCCCTTAAAAGGAATGACGCCAATTTTACATTACCGTCACATATTTCCATAAATATGTTAATTTCTTCTTCAGAAATATTTGATAGTTTTTCGGGTTTTGTTTGCTCACAAATTTGAACTTTCAGTAATATAATAATAATTATAGATTTAAGAATTAGTCATAGTTACGAAAGCTAAAGTGTTGTATACGTGCCTCCAGATCTTTTATACAGTTTGGTATCGATTCACTCGTAACTTTGAATTCACTTCTATCCTCGAGATCCTCCCACAACAATTTGGATCGTTCTTTTTTCTTTCCCTTTCCTTTACTATTATTTACTAGTGAACATTTTTATCGTCCGAATATAAATACTCGTTCTCACTTTGGTCATTTGGAACAAAAATACTTTGTTTGGCCCATACAATATTTTAAGATTCATCTAAAATATTACATATTATTTAGAGTTTCCACTTTTCTTTACCTCAACTTGATCCAAATATGGCATAAGTACACACAGTTAACTTTTGCATAGTTTCACATTCCAGAGCTTGATTTTTGACACTAACTACAATAAATAAGCATTCTCTATGCACAAATTTATTCACACAAATAATTACAAATTGAACTCGATGATTTAGATTCAACTTTTGGCAAAACAGGTGCCGACTCGATCTTCAGTATCTGATGACGCGATATGAGTGAGTGAAACAAAAATGGTGGGCTCAACTCTGGCCCGTCGCCGAGAAGCGAGTGTGGCATATTTGGGACAGTTTGAAATAATGGGTAAAACTCATTTTACGTGCTAATAAATTAGATTCGAATGTGAAAAATATGACCCTATATGCAGTAAGGGGTCAACTGCTGCAAGATTAATTCTTTGAATGTTGGATGTGTAAGTCGAGTCTCTTAAAGAACAATTATGAGGCGATTATGTCACTGGCAGTCTCAATTAATTGCGATCTAATGTAGAATATTACCTTTTTGGGTATAAACAAGCTACTTAAACGGCTACTTTTTGGACAACCGTAACTAATCAGTTTCCATCATGGACTTTTCTTATCTGTGGTTCTTTGATATTAATTATTTATTTTATTATTTTGGATTGATATAATTTTATGTAATTATAAATTAATATAAATAATAACTGATATTCAACATGGATTGTAGCTTTAAACATTATATATGCTATAAACTGAACTTTACATGGTAGGTTGTCTATTCAGATATGATATGCAGCTAGTTTCGAGAATGGTATAATTTCTCCGAAGATGTCATAGAGTTGTGTTTAGGGAGTTCAGAAACGTTGTTACAAAATGACTGTGTTAATATTAATCAATTAATTAAATATTTGTAAAAAACTATTTCTTAAATTGGTTTATAGTCTCATTGTTGCCTAATTGTTTTGTATCTGATTGAATACTGTTCCTTGTAAATGTTACAAAAAAATTGAAGTTATAAACTACTTTACATCTACAGGATGTCCCTGAAATGACCACAAATTCCCACAAATGACCAACCACAATGCTGCTTCATTTTCCCACTACAGGCCCCCAAAGTTCTCAAAGTAACATCGTTTTTTCCAAATAATTTCTAAAAGCCTATATCTATTTTCGCTAATTTTTGAATCAACAGTTACTACATAAATTGACGTGTTTTGACGTAAGCGTGATATATTTTTAATGCTTGAAAATATTTAAAATAATGCTTTGCACGTTAATAAATGTTTGTATTTTTGTTACAATTTTATTGATTATTTTAAAACTTCTATGTTTTAAAACTACTTTGTTTTAAATGAAACACAACCACTGTAATACTGAATCCAGTGCATCTATTAAGTACATTTATTGATGTATATGCAGACTTATGGCCGAACCTAAACATAGACGTGGATCTTATTGCCTTAATAAGAAAGTTTATTGCGAGTTTACATTCCCGTGAGAATATGTTGTTGGAGGCCGATACTCAATCAGCCTTGTGCTGTATCGCTCACGTTAACTTTAACGGGCATGTTATCCGTCAAACACGTTATGTTGCTCCAACTGGTGTGTTGTATCAGTAAAACCTTTATATTATAACAGGCGCACGCTATCGACGAACGTTATATTAAGAAATACCGCTTCAGAATAACAGCATCAAATCACATGCTGGTACCGAACTTAACGTGCGTCCCTCGAAGTTAACTTCGGGGAATAAATAAAACAATTGTGTTTAATCAGAGCGTAGTTTTGTCTTTTAGCTATAATTTGTTTTTAATTTAAAAGAAAAATATGTCTTTTGGTGGTCTTATAAGGTTAGCTTTATTAGAACAATTTGTAAATGGTCTTGAAAATAAACTTTATTTTCCTCCACAAACTCTACTGAATTTCCAACTTGATTGCGGGTTGTTTTTTTGCCGCTTCTGTGCATGCTCCATTGAAAGCGTTTGAGAAGATGGGTCAAGAACAGTAACGAACGAAATTGAAAGTGAATGCAAATTATAAACAAAGACAAGTATGGTAGTAGGTGAGCCAAATGGTCAAAACGTGCACATGTGGTGCATATGTTTTAGAAGCTTCGATGGTTTGATGTTAACTCTCTCTCTAACTAATAGACTATTGGTATAAGGGTATCTCACTTTATGCATCCAATATTGTTTTCCTTTTTAACGTTTGATGCATAACTGAGTTGGAAACGCATACGTTAACTGGGAGATAGAGCACACCTCGGTTGTGTTGCTGCGTTATCGAAAATGTTATCCTGAACTGTTAAGTCGCCATAACGTGTGGCCGTTAAAAATAGCATTTATGATACAGCACAGGGCTGACTATCTACCAACATCTGTGGCTTCACAACCCTGGGTGCGTTTTTGCCGACTCAACCACACGTCTCCATCCTTCTATATCAAGCATCCGATCGGGGGCCATCTTCGATATTCATGGCTTTTAGGTCTTTTACAATATTATCTCTCCATCTGAGGCGGGGCCGACCTAATGGACGTGTTCCTCCTGGTACCTCCTCACACTGAGGCTTAGTTTTTTAGGAGAAAGCATTAAAAAAATATTTCAAGATGTACTCGTGTGTTTTTTGTAATTAATAGGTTAGTTTTTTGTAAAAAGCATACAAAGTGTTCTTTATTATAGATTTGTGGCGAATTACTAGGAAAGCATTGGAAAAATCTAGCCAAACCCTTAAGTGAAATAGAGTCTACTTCAGATCCTGATGTTCTAAACAACAAAGTCAAAGAAGTCTGCGAAAGAGCGACTTTATTTAGGATTTCTAGCAATGCCATGATAAATGTAAGTATACTGATATGAAATATACTATTTATTATCCTGTATTGCGTGGAACTGCATCAATAGCAAACTTCGGAAACAACTTATCTAATCGGATCTCGACGCATTAAATGGACACAATATTGTAAAATTGTGAAAAAGAAAATGGAGATGTGCACACACTTACTAAAATCACACAATATCAGAAAGCTTTTTAAGCAATAAATTGTTTTCAAACATTCCGCAAAAAATGGAACGAGTAACGTGGTTTTGACCGTGGGTGTGGTCCCATATCTATTTGATCCACGTATAGATTCATATGAATAAAATAGATGGTGACTATAACCGTTTCTCACGAGGTGTTTCATTCGTACTCCTTGGGTTTGTCATTTGCGAGGCAATTGTTTGCTTCTCTTCTTCTGTTTCTACTACTTGTTGGAGATCTGTTGATTCCGTGCTTGCCTCGGTATTGTTTCCTGAGATGTGGACGCCAGCTGTCTCTCCATCTCTTTGGTGGTCTTCCAGGTGGACGGGTCCCTGCTGGTTCTCCCTCTAGTACAATGCGTGGTAGTCTATCGTCGGTCATCCTCTTCACGTGGTTGTACCATTCTTTTCTCCTCTACGTTCCCCATCTTACCACATCCTGTACGTCGCTTTATGCTTTAATGTCTATGGTTCTTGCACGATATTTTCTTGTTTTCCCTGCTATTGTCCTCAGTACTGATATTTCGGCGACTCGCAGCATCCTCTTGGTCTTGTTGCTATCTTCTCAGCTATCTAAACTGCATCACTTGTTCAAATGGGTTTATTATCTATTACCAGCTTGCATCTCATAGGTCATGGTTTTCGTTTTACCCATGTATATGTCCATATTGAGTTGCTGGCTTGCTTATGACATAGCTAAAAACTTCTACTGGTACCACACATTATTACTGGGATATCAGTCGATAAAACATTTTCAAACCTCTTCCGCGTGAAGTGCAACGATAAACCTGGTCTTGACCATCGATAGTCATTCAGGAGAAAATGGAAACGTTTCCACGCAATTTTAAAGGTAACAATTCTTAAGAATCCTTAGCCCCTCAAGCATTTGATTAATGGGGTAACTGGCCTCCTGAGCACTTAAGACTTTTAACTCACTGGTTTTATAAAATGCTAAAAACGAAGCAGAAAAATGGAATTTAAGATTTTATCAGCCAAACGACTGAAAAAAATATTCTGCGAACAGATTTTCTTGTAAAAGACTTTAGAGACACTGGTTCGGGGTTAGTCAAAGACATGCAATTGATGCCAGATAACATTGCAACCCCTGAGAATGGCTTGCAATTGCTAATCCGAGATAGATGATAAAAAAGATAGTAAAGAACGAGAATCAGTCAATTTTGACATTTCACGATGAATGAACTTATAGAGACTTTGATACTTTTAAATCAGTTCATAGACTCATTTAAGATGTGTATTCATAATTGCAGTCATGTGCCGACTACCTCAAAACAGCTCACACTCATGGTCATAAACTGGTTAAGATGCTTCAGCATGAACGAGAACAAAGACAGAGGCTTCAGGAAATGGTGGAAACTCTTGCGGAGCAACACTCCAAGTTAGAACGAGCAGCTAATGCGCATGCCCATAGAGCTGGTAAGTCATATTATTTATACGTTAAGTTTTTAAGTAAGTTATTTGCACATTTCCAACTGGTATTGTGTACGAAATAATTGGCTCACGAGTACGCAAACTATTCGATTTGTATTGATTATGCGCGCGATTCTAAAACTAGATTTTGCAATACTATTGCTCAATAGTTCAGGGTGTCGAAGAGAAACGACACTTGCTGATTCAAACGGTCCAAAAAGAAATTACTATTATTCGATTGTTAATAAAAATCAACCAGGAGGATTAACAACATAATAGGGGTAATGGAATATGATGGCACAATTTTAAAATAAACAGTAAATAAAAAAATAGACATAAAATAAATTGTTCAAGTATTCATAATACGTTGTATTAACAAGCTGCTAAAGTCTGGATCTTCAACAAAAATCAAAAAATATATACCTATTTGCAGTGAAAGATAGTGAAAACGCAATTTGCTGAAAGCGATAGCGAGTACTTGTGAACTAAAGATCAAGTTTAACTGAGAAGGAGGGCAGCAAATAACAGTTAATGTTTAATCCGAAATAGTCTCCACAATAAAACGCGAACGTTTCGAAAAGTAATTAAAGAAGAAAAATCCTAAACCAACCGAAAACGACTAATCTTAACGCAAACCATTGCGAATTGAATCGAAGAAAACTAAATCGAAACGAAAAACAAACTTTTTGGAAACAAAATACTGGCAGTTTGATTGCCTGAAGAAAATATCGGCAGATTTGTGGCTCTTCGTGCGGTAGATCACTAAAAGTTGGGTGTGCCTCTCGGACTTGTCTGTAGTGGCTCATTATCTCCTGAGGCTAGAGGTATGATAAACGGTTATTTAAATGGTAACGGGGTCCAACGTTTCAGTTTCACCTTGGTAATAGGTAGGTAAAAAAATGTGTCGTACTTACAACGTTTATTACTATTCAAATAACTTTCATATAATCTCTGACTGAATTTATATTTAAAAATGGCCAGCTTGCTTAAATRCAGGTGCACATTCTGCTTAAAACGTTTGTTATTTTACATTTCAACTGTGATGGAATTWATGTCTTAGTCTCTTAGTTTGCTGGTCTCCCGARCTAAGTTTCTTTAKAGAAATCCMTTTTTTAAAGATTTATTACAGAATGTCAGAAAACTAAATCTTATAGACTAAAATTGATGAATTATATAATTGCAGCAACTAAACAAATTTTAGCTGGTTCCTGGAGAACTGAACAGTAATTCTTATAAACGAAAAGTGATACAAAATCATCATGGCAACGGGCAACTACCATACAACATATTTTCCGTTGACAAATGGTTACTGAAACTGCTGCAACTGGATAGAGCGCTCGATGATGCCGCATCGGTTCTGTGCTGACGCGAACCACTTTACAGGTTTATGAGACGGTTCCAAAAAAAGAACCTTTAAATCGGCAAACGACTGCAGCTGGTGCGAAGTGGGCACTGCTGTTTCTGTTTTATGAAACGGTTAGAAAAAGAACGGTTTAAGGCGGCAAACGGCTGCACCTGGACAGATCGATCGACGTTGTCGCATCGGTTCTCTGCTGGCACGCACCGCTGTTACGGTTTTATGAGACGGTTCCAAAAAATGAACCTTTAAGTCGGCAAACGGCTGCAGCTAGTGCGAAGTGCGCACAACTGTTTCCGTTTTATGAGACGGTTCCAAAAAAAACGGTTAAATCGGCTAGCTGTAACTACGGTTTCAGGTTACACGTTTGGAACACTGTTATTTTAGCGGTTACGTTAAATACCGACCATCCCTACCTGATGCTGCTGAAGCTGGAGATGTAGGATTAGAAGCGTAAGACGTATCATTTTCGAATTTGGCTCCAACTGTGAAAGGTAGGCGCTCTCGACGGTTGTGTTTGAAGATCCGCACTAAACATGTAATGTGACGGAGATCCGCCAGCAATTCACTGGATTTGCGGATTGAGGATAATTTCAGAGATTCATGTTCGCAATGGGAATCGCGAAGCTGTAACTGCATATTGGACAGGTTATTGACAGAGTAGTATCACCTTAAAGTGGTGAATACTAGTTCTCGGAACAGATCTCTCACTCGGTTTATTGTCACTTGCTTCCCAAGTAAAAGATAACAAAGAAACAAATTGCAAAAATATATGTATTTACGTGGCTCACATGATTCAGATGTGCACAACCGCTTTTCGACACCGGCTTAATCTGAAAAACAAATTCGCGCTTCACAAAATAGCTACTTGATACGGCATAAGTAGTAGCACCGAAAATCTTCGTCCGATTGTACACGATCAAATATTTTCTCGGACTGCCATAAGATCGTACGCGGCCCAGCCTCCGCTTGCGCGATAGCCTTTAAAGATGAGTGTGCACCGACGAATCAAAAAAAAAGTTTCTCGATATATCTTCGGAGCCACACGTTGTAAATGAGAAAAGTGATTTGCAATTACGGATCAAAAACTTTGCCAAATTTATGATTATTTTTTCGCAAATATTACTGCTTTCAGTGAGGTTTTTTTGCTACTTTTTACTCACTGTTTAACCCTAGAGCACACTTAAAAAGAAATTGCACCAATTTTGAATCATCCTGTACAATGTTGACAAGTACATTAAAATTTTGATTTTTAATGTGACAATCAGCAAAATTTTAGTGCTTTTAAACTTTATATTGAAAATCAAATTGAATCTAATATCTAATCAATGTAACTATCTTTAGTAAGTGGAAGTGAAGCCGAAGAGGAAGACGAAAACGATTTTTTCGATGCTGTTTCGGATGGAGGCCAAAATTCCAGCGTAAATGATCATTTTACGCTCGACATCAGAACAAGGACAGGGGTGCGAAGAAATAGCTCCGATAGTTCTAGTGAAACTGAAGAAACTCAAGAGACCCAGCAGGTGAGTTTTTGTTGGCTATTTATGACACCCAAGCTGCTTTCGGAATGTTAGGCAGCATATTTGATATATTTTATATTCATTGAAACTTGCCGAATAGAAGAAACCTGTCTAAATAGTTCGGATGTTTATTGTTTCATAATTTGGCTACAACGTTTCTAGATCTGATTGATTGCCTTTCGTTGTGTACAGGGCGGGCTAAATTCGACACTTTTAAATGGAAACTGCCACTTCTTCATACCAGATAGGCAAAAACTGATGTCGGTGTCTGAACCTCGATTTTTATGACAAAATTAATACCGAAAACCGTATGTCAATGTATCTAACAGTTTCTTCATATATCTAGGTTTCTGGGTTCTCTCTTTCTGGCTAGTCTTTTTCAGAAATCTGCACTTTCAGAAAGGCTCTCTAAGTCTTTTCCTGTAAATTTCTTTAACTTTCTTCGGAAACATTGTCAAAGCACTTTTTCACGTAGTATCCGATAATGTAAATTTCATTTACGATAAGCAAATCTTTTCCTGGTTATTAAAAAAACTTAATATTTTTAAATGGGACACTTTATATTTTGCCATATTGAACTTGCTCATGAAAGTACCTATACAAACATATATCACATTCTACGTTTTACTTAAGCATTCTATGAAATATGGAGATTTAAAGTTTTTTTAAGATTAGATGATAACCGTCAAATTAGCAGTAAAAGACAGTTTAACTGATACAGTTGAACTGACATTTATAACTGGTGGTCTAGATGGACTATGGTCTACATTTTGCAGGGAATTTTAAAATGAGGTTTTCCAATCTGCCACAAAGGTAAAAGTCCATAAGTGTTAAATCCGTTGACCTTGCCGGCCAGAGAATGAAATAAGAAAGATACGGAAGAAAACAGAAAAAATTACCGACAAAAATGCTTGACTATTGCAGCGTTATGTGGTGCCACATCTTGCTGGAAAAACATGTTCTCACATTTTAGTAAACGGCAGCTCATCAACAACAGGTTCTACTGGTTGGCTAAAAATATCTAAATACTTTGGACCGATAAATCTATCTCTGAAAACACCTGCCTACAGCGGTTAACGGTAACGGTTGAAAATACCAGCACTACTTACATATGCTTCGCCTAACCAATTACAATCCTACAAAAAATCGCGCACTTAGTTTCAGTTTTCCTGGAACCAGCGGCAAACGTTCATTTGGGGTTCTAAATCTCCAGGTCCTGATATGAACTTTTCTCCTAAACGGTTTGAAATTATATTTTTACAAAGTTCGTCTAACGGCAGTTCTTGGCAGATCTATTGATACAATTAAATTAGGCGTTCATATTTTGGCCATTATTTTCAACACTTCCTATTAATGTTAGTTCTTCTAACTTTTTATCCCTATTTGATTTAAATCTTTTTAGTATTTTCATCTCAAATTCTCCACAATTTTTCAGACCATATTGCAATCTTGCGTCCCTGAATGGTTGTCTACTCTCTGGATACCGTTCCCCCCAGTTTGTATGAAGCAAACTATCATCTCAATTTTCAAAATTCTCATATTTTATTTCAGATTAATTCTGATAATTCCACTAAAAGTCAGAAATAAGCAGAACCTATACAGCATTAAGAAAAACTTTGACAAGTGCCATTATTGACATTGACATTGATATTCTTGGTCTTGATATACTTCATCCAAAGCCGGCACATGCAGTCTAAACTTGAAAAAATCACTAATTAAACATCTATCTTCTTCTTCTAGCCGTTCTCTATCCTTTGGATATAGGCCTCTCTAATATTTTTCCAGTTTTCCCTGTTCTGTGCTACTTGGTACCAGTTAAGTCCGGCTGTTCTTTTGATGTCATCATACCATCTTTGTTGTGGTCTGCCCGTGTTTCTTTTCCTCCCAAGATATCCATTTTGTTGTTTTTCCGCTCCAGTTGATTGTATTTCGGGATTGTATGTTCGGCCCAGTTCCATTAAAGATCGCCTATTCGCCTCGCTATATCTTCGACCTTGCTTCTATTTCTACCACTATCTATYCACTCATTGGTTTTATAATCTTTAAGTGTTATTCCTAGCATTTTTCGTTCTATTGCTCTTTGGTGYATCTTTAATTTATTTATGTTTTTCTTTGTTAGAGCCCAAGTTTCACATCCGTAGGTTGTTACTGGGAGAATGCATTCTATGTAAACCTTCGTTTTTAGTTTGAGGGGTAAGTTGGAGTTGAAGATGTATCGCATCTTCCCGTAGACCGCCCATCCTAGATGTAATGTATGATCAATTTCAAGTCCCTGATTTGTTTTTCCCAATGTTATTTCTTGCCCCAGGTAGACATAAGAGTTCGCTTTCTCTACTTGTCCTAACACATTTATACTCTCTATGTTTGTCCGTTGATTTGTCATGAATTTGGATTTAGAACTGTTCATTTTTAGGCCAATCTTTCTTGCTTCTTGTTGTAATTCTATAAGCACGTGTTGTATTCTTCACTGTTTTGGGGCAAAAATGACAATGTCATCAGCAAATCTTAGGTTACTGAGTTTTTCCCCCGATATATTTACTCCTGTCTTCCCAGTGTAGGTCTTTGAAAACATCTTCTAGCACGAGTGTAAACAGTTCGGGTGACACAATGTCCCCTTCTCTATTCTTCTTCTTCTTCTTCGATCTATTGTTATGTTACCCTGTTCGTCTCTCAACTTGATTATTTTCTTTTTTATGTGCGTTTTTTTTAAGACGTTCAAGCCTATACTTTGCTTTATCAACGTTTTTAATAAGCTCTCTCCATTTTTTCAGTAGCTGTTTGGTTTGTTTTGTAAGCTTTTCTATTTTATTAGTTTTTGATGTGTTGTTCCCTTCAATACGTTTATCATTCATATCATTTGTTTCGTCCGGCTCTCGTGTGATTATATTGTTTCCTTTGCTAGCCGTTCTGTCCGCGTTCTGCTATGTATTGGCTTATTGTATTTAATTGTACCAGGGTCTACAGGGTGTTCGGTGCTGTTGAGCTTTTTTGCTCTTTCAATTCGCTYTTAAACATCTGTATTTGATTGAATAGTTGGGCAAAACATACATATACAGGAATAAAGGAATAAAGGTAGATAACTTTTCCAAAAGTGCAGATTTTAAAGATAGACTCGGTGAGGATGCAGCTTTAGCATGAAACAAATAAAAAGAAGTTTMGAAAATACCTAAATCGATAGTACTAATCTAAGAGATTCAGAAGCAAAACAACGTTTRACAGAGATCAACAGAGTATTGATCAAAGACAGATCAAATCCCAGTCAAAACATTCAAATAAATGAACGACGACACCTTGGATATACTGCTGGACTTATTTAACGGAGTATACAGGGTGCACCACTGGAAAACGCTGCGATCGATATCTGGCAAACTGTAACTAGGAGAAATTTGAAAATTGGACGGTGTGTCGAAGCATTGAGGGCAAGCGATCTATAATATTTTCAAGGTGACCACACTTCCGATTATACCGGAAGTAGGTATCAACTTGCTTATTTTAAATGACACACCCTATACAGGGTATCTAAATATATTTCGTGTATAATATTCTATAACTAATCTAAACGTTTTTGATTTATTTGAAATTTTATGTAAAAATGATAGATGGAGCCACTCGAATAACTATTCATTTTTTCTATAAGGAATTACGTGCTACTTAATTTGAGTCGCATTTCTTGTTGAAAAGGACTTACTTTAATGGAATTTCGAGTATGTCCCGTATAGTAAGTCCCAATATGTAAAAACTTTCTTGTTCATGTTGCTAAATGCTGCTCAAGCCTGCTATGGGACCTTATTTCCTACGTGTTATCCCATTCACTGCTCAACAAGCACCCCAGCAGAAGCTGGAGACCTGCGGAATCTGTTGGTTGCCTGTACTCAGGTTTGCTAGAAGCTCACCACTTTTGCTAATAACCATAGTTTGGGTCTTGCTGACATTTAACTTCAGCCCTCTTCCTTCGCTTTTAGCCACAACCCTATTCAGCAGTAGCTGCAAATCAGCACTTCCTGCCAGCAGAACCGTATGGGCCGCCTAACGTAAGTTATTTATTACTTCTCCGTTGACAACAATTCATTCCCGTGCTTTGTCCAATGATTTGGCGAAAATTTGCTCAGGGTATATGAAGACCCGGGGNGGGGGGGGGGGAACAATACATGTCCAGTTTTTGTCAAAATTTGAACTAATCAGGCCATCTAGTAGAGCAAAACGATATAATTCGGAATATGAAATCTCCAAGCCAAACTACCTTGCATGTGCCCAATATACAGGGTGATTCAAAATTGGCGTCATTCCTCTGGAGGTGTTGTCTGGCACTGTTATAGGAGTACAGAAAAAATAGTAAAAGAAATATAATTGTTATTAAAAACTGAGAAATTTGCAAAAAACTATATCAGAAATACGGCGGCAATGTTTTTCAAGGTAATCTGCCTAATTAACATTGCGCAAATACTTGTTGCTTCGTAACTATTTAAAACTCCGGTAACCATGGATCATACAGACTGACAATAAGATAGACAAGGAAAACCGTAAATTCAACAAGATTTGTTTACGCAATGTCAACCTGTTCTGATAACCTCGAATTCTGCGGGGTTTGGTGTTTACAAAATTTGTAATTTAATAATCTATACAACACCAAACATTTGAATGGTTAACTCCAAACAAGCTAGCGCCTGTGTAATCTACTTTTCAGTTAATTAACTCCTGCTCCATTTGTACATGTGTGTGCTCCTTGTACTGTGTGTATCGTACAAACGTGGTAGGAACGTAGCCCTCCTCGGTATTTATTTAGTGCTTCGGAAAGTGTCAGTTATTGTGTTCTAAGTGCCCCAGGAAGGCCCTGATTCGGTTATGTCCAATACTTGTATCTCTGTGCCTGGAACCACTCTCCTCGCCCTTTGTTGGCGTGAGTTCTTTCAGCTTCTGCCATGTTACTGGAGCATTTCCCCTGAACTAATCGCATATCCGCAAATTCGTGAAAGGAAATTCAAAGTAAGTCACAGTTTGACAAATTATTGTTATGATTGACAAGGGCTATCCACCTGTAACTATCTGTTAATGACAAAAAACATCAGTGCCGCTGTGCCTTTTCATCAAAAAATTGTAGAAGAAAACTTTTTTGATATTAGAAATGTTCGTAATTTGAAGCAAAGATCGTAATTTTTCTTTTTGAATGCTTAAGTATTCCAATATGCTACCAATTGAACATGGAACAATTTCAAAATAATGCTTAATAACAAAGTTGAAATTCGATCTTCAACTGTTGATATCTTCTAGAAATTTTCGAAAAAAAAATTTCAATATTTTTCTCGTATTCCCCAAGGGAGCCTCTATCACCCCTTAAAAGGAATGACGCCAATTTTGAATCACCCTGTTTAACTAACGAAAGATTTACCTTACTGGGGAAAACTTTTTTTTCTACTAACCTGAGGTCACCATTATTTACTCCATTTCTCTAGTGATAATTCATATTTCTCTCCCTAGGTCAATAAGAGTATAATAATATATTGATCAATAATGAAAGATGTTTACGCTTTTCATTATTTTTAGTTGCCATCCATTTCCACTTCTAAATCACTGTAACTTTAGGATTCACTAACTTTTCGCTTTTTCCAGACGTTTTTCATAAAACTTTTATCTGGAGACCGATAAATTATATTGCGGCAGTTTTAAAACTTTGCAGTTTAGTCAGGGTATCAAAAATTGCGACATTTAGATAATTAATGGGAAATTCAAAATCTAATTAAATCAATTTAGGCAATTATCCGTGTTAGTAGTAAAAAAAATCTATATATGCTTCGGTCGAGAAGGCTATTAAATACATAAAATCCTATATTCATGTCACACATTCATGTCGAATATTATCCATATTTCAAAAGGAAATTGAAAAAGATATCTGAAAGAGAAGACAAAACACTGATTGAGAACTGATTCAAGATCTTAAAAAACCAAAAAAAACTAAAATGTCCAAAAATAAAATGACCGAGACAGAACTTCATTTTACGAAAGACCAAAAATTGTATTCTTTTAGCAAAGGACTAGAGAAGAGTCGCAGCAAAAGAAGAAAACTTTGAAGCAGTAGTATTGAACCATGAATGAAGTAGACACCAATAACTATTGTTTTTATGCGTCCACATGTTCCTTGGTAGTCCGAAATCGCAATAGTTCTATGAATACTTTCTTGAGACGGAATTTCAAGCTAATAATGATGACAGCGGCGATGATGAGTATTAGTTGAATAATTGAATGAAATATGAAAATATTTAAGTTTTTCAAATGAAAAACCTAAAATATTAATTTTCCGTTATTTCTTTGTTTTTTATGAACTATTGTGAAATATCATTTTCTTTACACATTTTCTATTTATGTTGGACTTTTTTTGTTTTTCATTGAAGCTGGTTCAACTAAAAATATTTTTTCTCAAAAGTAAACGGAATGGGCATGCATGGCTTTTTCCCCCGGGTTTTCATGTGTCAAAGAGCAATAGGGAAAGGACACATTCTTGCCTCACCTCGCTGTATGGGGACGTACTCGGTAGTCATGTCCTCACATTTGCAGAGACTTGGTTCTAATACAGATTTTTTATAATGCGGATGTCTCTGCCATCTAAGTTCATGTTCTGAAGGATGCTGATAAGTTTCCCGAGATCAACACAGTCAAACGCCCCCTGGTAATCGAGAAAACACCCGTATACATACAAACAACATATACAAATCAACAAAGCATTTATTTGTTTATTAAAAGGATAGCATTGATAGTTTGAAAATTCGTATTGCCAATACGTGACATTTCAAAATGTATTTTGAATGAAGCTGTCAAAGTCATCTAAAATTTCTTTGAACTCAATGTAGGAACGCTGATACAAGCGTAGAAATTTTAAATTGTTGACTTTGACATTTATTAATTTCGTTCTGACTTAGAACCACTATTTGAATTTGATTTTAATAAGATACTATAATTTTTGATATAGGCGCATTAACTGTACAAGAAAAAATTGAAATTATTTTTGTATACGGAGAAGCCGGCCGATGTACTTTCAATAAACAAATAGATGTTTTGTTGATTTGGAGGTACGTATTTGATTTTCATCATCAAAAAATGTTCGGGCTGAATATTCCTCTGACATTAATAGATGCTATTGGTCACACTAAAATTTTTAGCGTTTCAATTAAATAACAGAGAGTGTAGCAGATCTTAAGAAAAAAAATTGATAATTGATGGATTACAGCGCCACCTGTCAAAATCGAAGAAAATGTTTTAGATAAATTATCCCCAGTTTCTGACGTACTATTCGAATCTTCAATAAAATGTTGTGGTTACCATTTGAAATTCTCAAGTTGACCCCTGCCTAGCCTACAAGTTCGAAGTAGGCGTTGTTTTTTTGACACGAATAAACTTCTCCCTCCCAGATATTAACTTCTTATTTGAAACATTTTTTCCTCGAATCGCTCGTTTCCGAAATATTTAAGCTTTTCAAGATACAAAACTACCCTGTATATAAATAATTTTTATTTCCTACAGAAAAAGGCTATCGACCCAATCGGTCTTTCTGCCCTAACCGCAGTTTACCATCATATGATTATTAAACATACAATTGAAGATATTTTAGCGTCCGAAAATGTTCAATCAAAGGTAAATTTTTAGTGGCTAACAGGACCAATAGTTTTTGAAGTTGGGAAAAACGACCTACAGATGTTTAGATAAAAAGGGGCCGAACTGGTCTTGGTACAGCAATTAGTAAATTGATTGGTACACACTCATAAGTGTGATTCCGTACTGGGGTCAGGAAAGATTTACCGCCCGAAGGCTAATAGGAATCTGTGTGGTTCGTAGCTTAGTGGTTAGAGCGTTATGCGAGAATCATAAAGCTGGATTTATAAACTCTGCAGTTCGTGAAGTTGCCATATCGTCGCCGTTGATGTTGTTCGTGTTTTCATGATTTATATTGAGCAGTTCGCAATTGGGAACTTGCACAAAAATTAAATTTGAAAAATATTACTCGCAAACATAACTTAATACTATTAAAAACCACAGTTTACCAAAAAACTAATTTTTTATTTCTATGTAATTAATATAAGCAATTAAAAACTGTATAATTCAAATGATTTTTGTATCGCGCCGTCATTGGCTGGAACCAGTTGTGACTGCAATGCGGAGCAACATTTTTTTCAGGTTTGACATTATCGTTACAACGTTTCTATAGTGTATTAGGAGAAAAAGAAAATTTTTCAAAATGACTGACGCAGGTTTTGTAAAAGGACAATCTGACATTTTACCACTAGTGGATATGTTTATGGTGGCATCTTATATATACCGACAGTTTTACTCTTGCTGAAGTTCGCGTTATAGACAAAATAGTCAATAGTTTTACTTATATAAGTCAATTGAATATTGATCAAAATGTAAGTGATTCAACAAAAAATAAGAAAGTATTGTTTTCATGCTAGTAAAAATTAAAGTATATCATTAAAAGTGATTTGGCATAATAAAGCGTTAATTATTAAATATATCCTTAGTTACTAAGAATTTTTTCAGACCTCCCATTAACTTGAATTTAACATAGTTATCTCTTCGATCTTCTTCCAGCAGTTACATAAAAACATGTGTTAATATTCGAATTGCATGACAAAAATAGTAGGTATTTAACGTAAATACACGACCATAAAACGAGATTTTATTATTTAAAACGACACTTATTTTTTCTTTTTAGCGTCTAATATAGCAAATAACTATTTTTATGGGGATTATTTACTATTACTATAATGCAGCCGACAAGCAAACAAAATACAATTTAAAATATCTATCTGCTTTACAATAGGCAAAATCAAATCCGTTTTTTATACTTGAAATGATCTTCACATGCATGGGCAGTAGTCTTCGCAGAAACATCCTTGTGAGCTCTTCTGCATGCCTTTAACCATTTTAGCACCGGCTTTTATCTCGTGGTGGACGAATAACTTACTAACTAACTAAGCTTATCTAGCGTTTTAAAAGTTGCACTAGGACACAGTGGCACCATACAGCATTATTTCATTATTAATAAAGCACAGCATGAATTCTGAACAGTCAAACACCCAGACGTATTGCCTTTCGATCGATCGAACTAGCGCTATGACGTCACGACCATTCCCGCGCGTTTAGTGTCGTTTCAAATAAATAGCCCGCGGTCACAACTAACTGTTTACTGCAAATTAAATATTGCAATTTGAGGGCTGATATTTAGTATGGGCGATTTCTATAGATAGGCAAATATATTAAAGAGATAAAAATATATGTTCAAGTTCCCAATTGCTGGAATGCCAATGGTTGGAATTTGATTGGTCAGATTGACAGATTGGATGCTCATATGATTTAATGTTGGTTATGTTGTCTGCTGTGTTTACCCAATAATACACACATTAATTAATTTTTTTTATCGCTTTAATATCAAAATGTCGAAATTGTCTTCATCTAGACGCAAGCCACTTGCTTTTACGTTCAATTTAGTTTCATATTTGCTATTGAGGGAAAAGCGTCTTTAGTAACATGCTTGAATTTATATTTCACCATCATGCCAGATGTATTTAGTACGGTCACAAATTAAGCACACGCATACAGTTTTACTGGGCACTTTTACAGTTTCTCTGCCCTAAATTGTACACTTTCATAATACACTGTATTAATCAGCTGCTAAAGTCTGAATCCTCAACGAAAAAAACTTGATCTGCCATCTTGCCAGAAACATAAACAAAACACGGCATTGGATAAATCGCCAATTGCACGAATGATTTCGCTGGCGGAATAAAATTTGGTTAATTAGCAACGACATGGAAACGTATTGGAAACAGAATACATTTTTCGGCCTAATGCCGTTTTCCAGGACTTTTCGCCCTTTGAAATTTACTAATTTCAAAACAAACAACGGTCGCCATACTAGCTTCGCTCTTTGCGCCTGCGTGCCAGTCGACATTTTTCGCGTAGTTGCCAGTACTATATTACCACTTCCTTAACCTTTTCATGTACATAAATCAATTAATATACATAACTTTTTAATATAACATAGATAATAATTAGTAATACCCAGATGATATATTTTCACTCCTTTTCCGATTCTCATCATAATTCCAATTAACCGATTGAGATCTCACACGCGTTAATAGACATCCATAGAAAAACCGAAGCTGAAAATACTTTATTGAGAAAATAACCGATTATTTTATTTTCTTTGCATGCATACATAATTAATTTAATATTTCAAACCGCTGGCTGCAATCTGCTGGGCCCCAGCTAAATTAAGCGCTCAATTATATGTATGAGCTTATCAGTGTCGTCTACTATTTCCTGCATGGACGTTAAGTTTTCTGTTAAGTTTCGAACCTTGAATGAATTACTTTCTTGTTTTCTTTGTGATATTCTACTTTGGTGGCAGTTCGGCAACATGGCTGACCAGTATGCCATTTTCGGCTGCGCGAATCGTGCGTACGGGCATGTGCGCGTGCCACAGCAGACTGGATCG